GCAAACTCATAGAGCAAGGAAGCCCGCAAGCTTTTGTGCATCCAAGACACATCCCTCTTAGATCTCTACAACAGCACCAGGAGGAGAAGTGGTTTAGAATACAAAGTTGGCTGCAAGCAAACGCACCACCATGAGGTCCACAAATAAATAAAAATCATAGCATAGCTGCACATGCAAATTGCAGGAAAATTGATTCCTGGCCACCATAGGGTTCAGGAATTTGCCTGCCTCTACTACAGCTGAACTCGTAAACCAGCCCTTGGGATGACAACAGAGCACAGTAGACTCAAACAGATATAAGAGTAGGACTACACTGCAGATAAGCTACCTGCCACGTAGATGAGACAATGAAAAAGAAGAAAGTTGAGATTCAATGTAATTGTAAAGGATTTGTCAGGTTCATCTGTGAGTATATTGGGGCTGGACCACCAGCTGTACTGATTGACAGTACTCACTGAAGACAAAAGCATTGTATTGGTCTACAGCAACTGGAGACGTGGTTCTGCTGAATTCTAGTTGGCACGTTACTTGCACTGACATTGTATTTAATGTCGTGGTGAAGAACACCCCAGCAACTACATCTGTACAGTCGCTCCGTACCAGCGGCGCGTGGATGTGCCAGCACAGCACACCGCCATACCGACCCACGCTAGCTTTACATTGCTCTGCAGAGGGGCACATACTGCTTTAACGCTGAATTTTTACTTCTGATAAATCACCCAATTCCTCTCTAATAGTCAATTATAATTGAATTCCTCTCTAATAGTCAATTATAATTGACTGTTAAAATGCATTTGTACAGAAGACCACACTGTATCATAGGAAGGTATGGACAACTAAGAAAAAAAAAAAGCTTCTGCCACTCTAATTAAAGACATAACTGCATGCACCTCTACAAACAAGCTAGCTTTTACTCACAGTACTAGCAAGAAAAATGAGTTTATCTGCTTTACTGGTGAGGTGTATTTTTCACTTGTTTCATCTATAGAATCATCTCATTGACTTTTTCTTGGCCTATAAAGGCCAAACACGAATGATGTGGTGGATAGTAGCAGAGGCACTTTTTCATGTCAGTCAGATTAGAGTTAAATCCCCGCTGCATTTGGGAAGGAATTCAATAGAGACTGCGCACCTTAGAGAAAAAGCAATGTGATTTCTAGCAGCCAGTTTTGATGTAGCAATCCGAGTTTCTTGCCACACCTGTTTCCTTAACACCAGGCAGTAAGATTGAAAGAAAAACTTGGAGAGAAAACCACAGGCTAATGCGTACATCTTTGATTCAGATACTCCAATTGCTATGATGGGGAGAGAGTTGATGCCTTCTTCCCCCCTCCTCAGAGTTTGAAAAAAGATAATAGGACAAACACTGTATTATTTTTAAGAGAAGATGTCAAGATGAAAAAATGAAAATGTCAAAAAAGAGGCTGATATACAGCATTACTTAAGGACTGTTTTGTTGAGAAAAACTGACCAAATGATTTACGAAAGGCTTTTAACAGGGCAGTCTTTGGATTACAGTGAAGATGAAAACTAAATGAAAATCTTTTTCAAGTTTACTTTAGCCAAGTCATTTGACAGATGGGGGCAAAACCTGGCAAGAACACAAGTTTTAATCTTCAGATGTAGTGACTTTATTTGCAGTTTTGCGGATTAGAGGTTTTCCTCTGCGCAAAATAAGAGCTATCCATTTTCAGACGCTTCCTGACAAAACTACTTTTTCTACCTGAAGCTCCCAAGAGAGGCACGCAAGCGCAAAGACCAAAGGACCGTTGCTTCTGCTCATGGCACAAACCACCACATACAGAGAGCATCCCAACTGTGTTCCAGCCAGAGCGTCCACCACCTTCTTCCCTTCCTAATTCTGCTTTCAAGCCTCTTGAAACACATCCCTCCTAATTAATTACTGGATTAACCAGTCTAGTATCAAGACTGCTCATGGCTGGAGGTGGATCTTGGAGCATGGACTTGTTCTCACTATGCACAGCCTGGCACATTTCTGCCTGGCCAGATGGGTCCCCATCTGCTCCTATTTGAAGGAGAACTTCCTGGAATTAGGGTTTTCCTCTTAACCTTTGTTTGCATGATTCCTTTGCTTCCTACATTTCATGCAGATTTTTTTTCCTTTGCACCAAAATCACCTGAAACACATCAAGAGTCAGATTTTAAAGCCAAAGGGATAGCTCTGCACAGTTTTAGTGTACACTCAGCATTAAATTAGCACTGCTCTACACAAAGGAGCTGCATCAGTACAGCAAGGGGCTACTTTTGGGTAGAGAAGTAATACAGCAGAAATTATTTCTAGTGTAAAGGGTACAGAGAGCCTAGCAACATCAAACCAAACTGCCAGGAGTCAGAGGTACCTTTCTGATGTTTGCTCAAGCTATTAGGGTGTACTATAATATTTTTCAGTATAGAATTTATAGTTCAAGAGAAGTAGTTGATCTTTTTAAGACTAGTAAAAAAAAAAATCAAGATGGAGAATGGAGAGCTGATATCTAATTTTTTTTAGATCTGCCACAGTTCTATATTTATTATAAGCCTATCACAGCACATCCTGCTCAAAGACTTACAGAAAATGTGTTGCTAACTACCAGGGAAGTATTGATTTTTTAATTTTTTCCCCTCAGTGCTATTGCTTGGCTGTGGTAGAACTGATAACTTTGAGAGGAAAAAAAAAAAGAAAAAAATCAATATTACTATGATCAACTGTTGACTACAGTTTACAGCAGCAATAATCTCTTTTAAAATAGCTTGCAGAAGTACCAGTTGTCTTCTATGTAATGTATTAATGATCTGACCAAAACAGTAAGTGCTGATAGCATTTGATGTTTTGATGATTTTGCTCTCGTTAAATTAAGTTTTGGTGACCACTGGAGTCATCTAAACTTCAGCTCTGAACCATCTTTGGCCAAGAACTGCAGTGTTCGCTGTTGGCGTCATCTTTTTGTTACTGATAAGAGTGATTCGTTCCCCTCAGTAAGAGCATCCTGTGCCATTTCGTACCTTGGATTTCATTTCAGTATTTAGACGTGCCTCCAATCGCTAAGGTCCACGCTTCCTCCAGTAATGCCTTAAGTTACACGATACCATTTGTCACTAGTTTTTCCCCTCGCGCATCTTCTTCCCAGAGAGTTTCTGCAGGGTAATGCTTCGTCTGAATACAGTTTTCTGAGCTTCTTTTTTTTTTTTTTTGTCCAAGTGTTGGACTGCAGAGGTGTAGTTCTGAAATGCTTCCTAGTTCCTACACCACCTTAGGATGGTCTTCAGCAGAGGTACATCTCCAGAGCAGCTCTGCTCATGCAGAGTAAAGCTTTACTGTGCCGGAAGAACAGAAACATCTCTGGCTACACCTAACTTACCATTTTGGTTTGGCAGAGTAGTAGGATTGTGATGCCCTTTACCCAGTTTCCTCCATTTTCTGCACTCTAGATGTTTCACAGACCAATTTTGGCACTCACAAACTGGAACAGTTTCAGATAAAACTGCCTGCATGTTCTGCATGAGCTGTGCACAAAACACAAGTAGCACCTAACGACAGCACAGGAATCCAAACCAACAGCAGACCTTCAAGACAGCTTTGAGCAAGGAAGATAAGGGAACAGACTAAGTTTAATCTGAAATAAAATCCCAAACTGTCTACAATACAGATGTAGGGGCCTCAACATTAGCTTCTTTGATCTACTGATCCACTCCTTAGATATCTAGTTACTTGCAAATGTAGATGCAATCACTCAGAGCTTTAGGTCTTCTCCTGTATGCCTTCGAAAAAGTGCCTGCAGAGTGAATTTGATTCACAAGTCTACAGCATCTTGGAGATACTTGTAGGTTTTAACTTAATTTAAAAGCTCCTTCTGAAGGCCACAGACATACAGTCCATGAGTGTTGAATACATACAGAAAAGACAGTTATTGATCTTCTAAAATGCACTGGGTGTTTCCATAAATGTGAATTTATAGCTGAATGTGTTTACACATTTACATCAGAGTTTCAAGACGATAAATAAATTTTAGTAAATTATTTGTTTATGAAGACGATTAGGTCTGTGGTTATTAGTAGACTGAAATCACAAGACCGGTAGTTTTTAATACTAACATGATACTCAACACTTTCAACAAGGAAACAAGAGCCAGTCTGCAAGTTTTCTTTGTAATAGAATGTAGCATTAAGCTCTTTGTTGATGTCATAAGCTACCATTAAGTACTTTATAAAGCATGTATGTAAAGATTAATATTAAACTTGGCATCCTAGAACATACTATATGTACCTTTTCTCCAAACACTGGGAGAAGCACTGACCAGAGAAGCCAATGCTTGTTGGAATCTCACAAGTGAAACTAATTAGATGTAGAAGGAGCTGTCACTCTTGCCCTCCCCCTGCTCGCATCAGAAGGATACCCTACCTGCCAATCTAACTGCTTAGCTTATGCTATTTTTACCCATCCATCTTTTTCTGATATTGACTTAAAGCCTGCGATTTGTTACACCTGGAATTGTAGCTGTTAAAGTTAAGGGCATAAGAAACATGCCAAGGTCTATCCACATAGAACCCATCACTTGGGCAGAAAGTATTTTAAAATATTCCAAGTGAACATTAAAATACATTCTAGATGCACAGCTGTTCCAGGTAGATGGGTCAGACAACTGTCACTCATGTTTGTGGAGTTGGGGTTAACAAGAAGTTGTACTGTAGCATTTTCGCTTATGTTCTCTACAAGCTAAAGGCAATATAGAATATTACCACAAGAACGTTTTTCTAAAACAATACACAAAACCCTAATGAAACCACATTTATGATATAACCTCAATAAAAATGTTAATAATGCTCATTCATATATCACAGCTGTCAGAGAAGGTGATAGTTCATATTACATTTGAGACATGGTGTTGACTTGTACAGAATAAGCGTATACAGTATGTGTCTTCATCACAGTTTGATTATTAGTAGCTTTTAATGATTTAAGAACTAGATATCTAAACTTGTCCATCTCTCATCTTTTTAAGGAGCATTATTCTGAATCCAGCTTATTTCCGGAACCACCTGCGCCAAGCTGCTGCGTTTAGGTGTTTAGAGAGATACTCCGAAGCTGCAAGGTACTCCGCTGCTCGTGGATTTCTAATCGTTTCTCTATATCTCTTTCATTCCAGCTCTCAGTAGTAAGGATATCATCTTATATCCAGGCTTTTCCAAAATCAGTGGGAGCTTTGTGTTGGCTTTGTGTATACGATCTTGCATGCAGCAGAGCTCCCATCCTCCCATTGGCGTAACATGAATAATCCCAGTTATGTCCCTAGTTGCAGTTGGACTAATGCATGTAGAAGGACTTACTCGTTCTGAGGCACGGGGGTGAGCCCTGGTCAGGTCCCAGCGCTACACTGGCACAAAGAGCTACATGCACACAAGCATCTTCCACTCCCCGCTTTCAGGTGTGCTCTGAATGTATGAGGGGGGAAAAAAAAAAAAAGAATTAAAAAAATAATCAAGATCTCGGAGTACACTGTGGTATGCTGCAAAATTTAGCCTGCGTGCAGCTGATGAGATCGCTGGTGTGAACGGGAACTGCTGGCAGGAAGAAAGGCTGCAAGAGGAAGCTCTGCTTGTATGCTTGTGTTAACGCTGCCAAAAACTAAAAGTTTCAACATGCAACAGAAGTTTTTAACCATTTAACATGCTTAAATGAAAGAAATGCACGGGGAAATGCAATGGTGACTTGCTATCTATCATCACTAGTACAAACATTAGACATTTACAGAAGACTGTTCAGCTGAAGACCACAAGATATGTCACAAAATATTTCAAAAATCATTAGCTAACTAATGGCACAACAGTCCGTGAGAATTAGGTGTGAGACTGAAAGGGTCACTTTGCTCCTCACTTACGATGGATGCCAGTGGTAGAGCTCTGAAGCTATTAGAATAGCAGCAAAACAGTTTGTCCAGGGAGTAGAAAGATGACTTTATCCAGAGTTGCAGAGAGGATTTGGGAAGATGAATTTCAATTTTCCGTGCTGGCCTTCAGCCAAAAACTCCAGGACAAGCACTTTTCTTTCTGCAGGACACACATTGAGATTATGTCAGAGTAATCTCCACTAGCTTTCACATGTCAGGACAGGAAGAAGAAATTGGTTCCCCAAGACAAGGAAACCATTTTTCCAAGTTTTTTTTAGAAACATGATTTCAGATAAACCTGGAATATTTCACTTGACTGTAGACCCAGCTCACTTATCAAACAAACTGTTTCAAACCAAGAAAGTGAAACATTTTCTTGACAAACAATGAAGTGTTGTGATAGTTCCCAGATCTGCTTTTATATCTCACTCATCAGTTTCTTCTTCCTATAAATCTTGTTGGGGTGTTGATTCAGAGAGAGATAATAATCTACTGAAACCTCAACAGTTGAGGTCCACTGATCAACCAGACATTTTAGAGCTGCATTAGGAGAGTATGTTGCTTTGTGACAGATGGGGAATCCTGCCCAGAATATTTTCAAATCCAAAAATTCACTAGTACCCCACCAAGTGAAGTGATACAAGGGGAAATGTTTAGTGTGCTGTAGGGGGAGAAGCGGGTTTTCCTCCTGAAGGGGTCACACAAAAGATTTTTTAAAAATAATAACAATAATAAAAGTTTAAAAAAATACCCTTTCAGAAACTGATCTTTCCTAAAAAGCAATACATATAAATGCCCATATTTGAGAAGACAGTATGAACCAAGAAGGTTTTCATAAATATGATTTCAAAAATAAATAAAAAAAATTGTGGTTGATGTTACTGCAGATAAGCAATCAGTAAGTTTACTACATCAGCAGGCAAGAGGGAACTGTGTCAGCCTTTTTTCCCCACACTGAGTAGCTTTCAGGAAACTAGATGATTTTAAATGAGATTATGTATTTTGTAAAGGAGAGGAACATTCTGACATTTTTTGTTCCAAAAGCAGTGACTATAGCAGTATTCAGAGTTTAGCCTAGTTTAACATAGTGTTATAGCAACTGTGCAGAGCTGCTTCTGCAGATTGTGTTAAACTAAGCTTAGCACTACTTCTGTCATCTCACTGGAGTCACTGGTCGTAGTCGATCCCCACTAATGGTGCAGAATGTACTCTGCTCGTTACAGATAGACCATGCCATACAGATATTCACCTGCAGTTTCTGAAAGTACAAGCAGGTTTTGTTAGCATAAGCCATCATTTATTTCTGCTCACTTTTTGTACAAAAAGAAGGTCACTGCATTTCTTTTTCTGCTTCTAAGTATCCTGTACCTTCCCATCTCCTCATATGATTTTTAAGCTAGCACATTAAATATGCCCAGAATACTGTATGGGTACGTGATCAGAAGCAGCTGGTTGTGAACAGTTCCGCTTGGCACAAGCAGCATGGATAATCACATTAAACTCAGCCTACCTATCAAGCTGAGATCCCGTGAGACTTCGTCTCTGAGGAGGTACCAGACCAAATTCTTCAGTTCAGAGAAAGTCATAGGTTAGAGTGGGGTCAACTGTAATTTAAGCACCTCTCAAGTTCCTCTGTGTGTAATTTTCACTAGCACAGCCCAGTATCAGGAGAATAAGCATATGAAGCAGTCTAAATGCAAGGACATCTGAATTCATGTAAGGAGTCTGATATGCCCATATCTGCATCACTTCTGAATTTTGTCAGCTGTGCAGCGATTCCTTCGGGATAGCACTGATCAGATGCCACCATGTACAGTGCAGCCTGAGGCCATTTGGCATTGTAAAGCAATCCTAGAAACACCACTGTGGGGTCACAGCATCTGCGAATGATGAATTCCAAAGCGCTGCAACCACTTTCACCAAGATGTCAGCTAGTATGTTTCTCCTCTATTGGTATCTCTGATGTTAGAAGACTGCTCTTGACATAGTAGAAATTTAAACCTCAGAAAGGAGAAAGCCTATTTCAGTTGGAAGACCGTCTTGGCCCTTGAACAAATGGGCATAAATGAATTTTATTTATATATATATACACACATTTAGTCTGCAGGTTACCAGGAAGCTTTAGAAGGCATTTAGGCTTAGGATCAGCCTCCAATAGCAGCGACTGGAAGTACCCTGCCAAAGGACACATGGTCATAGCTGATCAAAAGATCACTTCATAACCAGAATGGAAAGTTCAGGAAAGGGTCCTGGGCTCCCTTCTGTCCCAAAACTGAGAAAACGCTCTTGGAGAAGGCCAAGGAAAACTCAACCTTCCTGGCAATATCAGGACTGCTACCTTAGGGAACAATGAGATAAGGGACATGAATGTGAAAGGGGATGTGTAAGCTGCAGAAGAACTTTGGAGGTCCATACTATCTCTAGGGGCAGAGAAACCGCCAGCCCCCGCTTTCAAGGACAAGGGCACTAGAAAGTGCACCCAAGGCTGACCCCCAAAGCTCCTGAGGGAAGGGTTACTGGACCCTATGCATCCTTCAAGTCACCAAGCCCACGGGCTGTGGCCCCACAGCTGCCTGCTCCACATCCACAGGAAAGGTCTAACCAGATGAGCAATAAGGCATGAAAGCAATTTTTCTTCTTTACCCAAATAGCACAGGCTATTGCTGGCACTGAATAGCCTTGAATCAGTAGTAAGGTGAAAATTTGTAACGTACAGAAAAATACGGCCACCTATTTGCTTTGAAACTGGAGGTTTAAGTACAGAAGGGAATTTTGCCCCTTTTTATCATTAAGCTGCATAGCTCTCATCTTTCTGCTAATCAAAATGCTGTGCTGATTTAACAGTGTCACTGTGTTCTGTGAAAAGCTTAAGATAGCTCTTTTATCACCAGCTAGAACACTAGTGACTTGAAATTAGTTGTATACATGTAGGGGAAAAACAGACTGTCTGTCCCTCTGCCAGAACAAACAACTCATATTCATCTGACTGCATAGAGTAGGGGTAAGCAACCCTTAAGGAAGAAGAAGTTTTAGGATCTTAATAGCTGTGGTATGGCTGACTCAGCTTTTTTACATTCGCATTTAAAAAAAAAAAATAATCTAGATAATCCCATCAGCTGAAAAGCAAACTAGGTCTGCAAGTAGTAAACCTCAGCCCCCTGTTTGAGTTCAGGTCTGTGTCCCCTTTCAGTCAGACTGGAAAACATAGGTGAATAATTTGGGTTAGTTTGTATGTCTGGTTTTGGTTTACGAAGCTTACAGCTGTAGTAAGGGAAGATGTATAAATAAGTGGGGTTGGGGATACAAGCTGAAGGAGTCACCAGCTGACTGCCTCTCGCACACACCTGCATCTGTGCTGCCCGCCTTTGCATCCTGCCTGGGCTTTCTCTTGGCAAAACAGAGGAATGTTTGTATTTTTTTTTCCTCTATCCTCATTGTTTCAGCTTTCCTAAACTGAAATAAATTAAAAAAATCCAATTTTATAAGAAGGGGGAAAAAAAAAGTCAGTTGTCATAGCAACGGACCCCCCGCCCGCCAACGCCGTGAGAGTCCCTCGGGG